GTGTGTGTGTGTGTGTGTGTGTGTGTATTAATTTATGATGGTTTATAGTTAGGAATGAGTACTGTCAGAAAAGATAATTAATGGAAAGACAAATATCATATGATCTCACTTATATGTAGAATCTAAAAAAACAAAAACAAAAGACCACGCTTATAGACACAGAAATAGATAGATTGATGATTGCCAGAGGCAGGTGTGAAGGGAATATGAAACAGGTCACGGGGTCAAAAGGTAAAAACTTCCATTTATAAAATAAGTAAGTCATGGGGATGTAACATACAGCATGGTGTCCGTAGTTAATCAGACCTGTATTGCATATTTGAAAGTTGCTAAGATTGGGGCGCCTGGCTGGTGCAGTTATTTGAACATCCGACTCTTGATTTCGGCTTAGGTCATGATCCCAGGGTCATGGGATCGGACCCCATGGTGGGCTCCAGAGCTGAGCATGGAGCTTGCTTGGGATTCTTTCTCTCTCTTCCCCTCTGCCCCCTCCCTGGCTTGCAACCTGTCTTTCTAAAAGAAAATAAAAAAGAAAATAAAAAAAAGAAAGTTGCTAAGATAGAAAAGTCTTAGAAATTATCACAAGGAAAAAAAATCTGTAACTGTATGGTGACAGATGTTAACTGAACTTATTGCAGTGATCATTTTACAATATATACAAGTATTGAATCATTATATTGTACACTTAAAAAAAGGAAAATCCCTGCATAATTTCATGAGGTCATAAAAAGTTAAAGGATTAGCTGCATTTCTGACTGAAAAAAAATCTACATAAAATAAAACAAATGAAGACGGGGAAGAAAAGAGAAGATTAATGGTATTAAGAACATTATTCTTGGGGCGCCTGGGTGGCGCAGTTGGTTAAGCGTCCGGCTTCAGCCAGGTCACGATCTCGCGGTCCGTGAGTTCGAGCCCCGCGTCGGGCTCTGGGCTGATGGCTCAGAGCCTGGAGCCTGTTTCCGATTCTGTGACTCCCTCTCTCTCTGCCCTTCCCCCGTTCATGCTCTGTCTCTCTCTGTCCCAAAAATAAATAAACGTTGAAAGAAAAAAAAATTAAAAAAAAAAAAAAAAAA